AGTCGACTGACTCGAACGACACGTCGGTTGCTGGGGATATTGTATCAGCGCCGTGTGTTGCAGATGCAGAGCTTGATCAGCAGATCACCGAAGCAATCGCGAGCGAAGTGCAGCCTGTAGATCAAGTCAAAGAACTTGAACCTACGCCGGAAGCCAGTCCAGATTCACAGCAGACTGTAGAAGCGCCAGCAGAGGCACCAGAGGATGCGTCTGCGACCGATAATGCATCCGCGACTGAAGATGCTGCGTCGCCAACCGAGGTGGTCGCTGATTCTGAACCAATTGACTCACCAGCATCTGAGGATGCGGTATCGGAAGTTGCGAGCTCGGTTGAGTCTTCTTCCGCAACTGATGCCGTTCAAGAACAAGCGCCTACAGCTGAGCCCGAGACAGTCTCTGGGTCCGCAGCCAAGGAACCATCCAAAGAAGAGGAGGCAGTAACAGAAGCAGTCCCTAATCCTGTCGAAGAAAAGACCGAAGAGGTAGCACACGAACCTCATGCAATCAAAGCACCTGAAGACCCCGTAGTGGAGCCAGTCACCGAGAGCCAAACCGTACCTGATGATTCACAAGAGCAGGCCGGGCCAACACCGGAGGTAAACACAGAAGCCTCGACTGCCCCATCCACGGACGTACCTACAGCAGAACAGTCAGTAGGCGACTATGATAGCGCAAGCGCCACCACAGACTCGCCATCCGAGCCCAGTGACTTGGTCAAGAGTGAGGCGACTCCAGCTGCAGACGTCGACCAGCAAACGTCCGCGGTACCTGTGCACGCAGCACCTGAAGCAGCTCCTATCGATGAGCCTGAAATTAATGCTGTCGCTGAGCAAGACGTGGTTGATGAAGCCTCGAAGCCTGATGCTCCGGCCGAAGCACTTCCGGAGTCTGTCTCTGAAGATACTGCAGCAGAGGACGCTCAGCTAGAGAGTCCAGAAGTCAAGTCAGAGGCAAATTATGTTACCTCTTCGCAAGCCACGCTAAGCGATGATGGTGCAGCAGACATTACACCTTCAGAGGTTTCGACACCGACCCTAGCCGCTGACGCTGCAGCCGAACCACCAACACCTGCGGCAGAAGAGGCCGCTGGTCCTGTTGCAACAGAAGTGTCTGAGGCAGCCGAGCCGCCAGCGGAAGCGAGTGAAGTAGGGATTCCGAAAGAGGTCGAGCCTACAACGGAGCCGTCGCATACAGCACCAGAAGCTGGCAGTGAAGCCTTTGGGGATGGGCCAGCTGCTATTACGGTGTCAGACTCCGAGCCGACGGAAGCCGTACCTCCAGAGACGACAGAAGAGACATCCGTTGAGCCCGCCGCTGAACCCGTGGAGATTGTACTTATGGAAAACACCGTAGAGGCTGAGGCTGTAGAAGCTGTCCCACCTGTTGAAGAGATAGCTGCGGTTGTAGAGTCAGCCCCTGTCAAGCCTGCTGACCAACCGACGCTTGACGAGGCAGTCACCGAGGAAGCCAATCCTGCTGAGCCTGCCTCTGATGAGGTAGTTGAGATGGCAGCACCTGTCGAACTCCCAGCAACAGACTCCGCACCTTCTGAAGCCGTGGAAAGTGCTTCTCCAGAACCGACCCTTTCTGAAGCCGTTGCGGTAGAGGCTCCTGATCCGGAAACTGAGGAACCAAGTGTTCAGGAGCCTGTTGCTGATGGTGTTGCGGCTGTTACACCTGCGGCTGAAGAGGACCCTGTCGAAGAAGCTGCACCCGCGCCAGCCCCTGTCGAACCAGCCTCTGTCGAACCAGCCCCTGTCGAACCAGCCCCTGTCGAACCTGTTACTGAGGAAGCCGTCTCGCATTCAGTCCCGGAACCAGTTGCTGAACCGGAGTCCGTCGTCGACTGCGTGCCTGTCGAGGACACTGTTGTTGAGCCTGCAACAGCGCCCGTCAAGGAAGCTATTGCTGAAGCAGCCGCCGAAGAATCTACTCCTCCCGAACTCGTTGCTAGTGAGGTCGCGATCATCGAGGATGCAGCCACTGAAGTCACCATCGAAGAGCTAGCTGCTATTGAGCCCGTCAATGATGAGCCGGCCGTTGACAGGACCCTTGAAGCACCTCCTGATGCAGAAGTGTCTGTTACTGAAGATGACGTTGCTGCAGATGAGTTTGCCGCTGTGGATCCGATTATCGAGGAGCCGGTCGCGGAGGAGCCTGACGTGCAGGAACCTCTTGTCGAGGAGTCCCTTGTTGCAGCACCTGCTGCTGAGGAGGCTGAAGTACGTGCAATTCCTTTCGCTGAAGAAGAGACGTCTCGAGGACTTACCGAGGAATCACTTCCTCAAAAACTACCCGAGTCAGTCATTGCACCCGTTCAGCCTTCAGCTGCGCCCGAGTCTACCACCGACCATTCTCCGAAGACACGAGACTTCGCCGATGTACCACATGACAAACGCCTGCGCAGGCATTCCCACTCCCGTCATGAAGGCAAGCACCGCTCACATCGCAGACGTGAGAGCGACGCAGGCGCAAAAGAGAGGCCAGTCCTCCCCGCCGCGGCTGTGCTTGCAGCCGATGATGTTCCTCCATCTCCAAAGCACAAGCGTCGCAACAGCACAACACGCCGCGAAAGCACAACAGATCGCGACGTCAAACGCCAGCCAAGAACCCGGGAGCTCGAGGCAAGGAGTAGCCCCGCCAGAGAGCTTTCGTACCCAGAGCATCGGTCTCACCGGCGCCACGACAGTCGAGAGCCAGCGTATCCCGAGTATCCTCTGGAGTACCCAGCTGAACGCGCTCGCCGTGAACCCAGAAGCGAAGACAAACATAAGCGACGCGCCGCCGAGCCTGTACTAGATGAAGACGCCGAGCGTGAGAAGCGGCGGAGAGCTCGTCGCGCGGAGAAAGAACGGCTAGCTGCAGAAGAAGCTGCAAGAGTCCAGCAAGAGGAGGAAGTGCAGAGACAGAGACGCCACGAGCAACGTCGTGTGGCGAAGCTGGCAGAAGCAGAGGCGGCCGCCAAGCTCCAGGAAGAAGAGGAAGCACAGCGAGAGCTGCGTCGCGAGCAGCGAAGGGCAGCGAAGTTGGCGGAAGCAGAAGCTGCAGCTCGGGCTCAAGAGGAGGAGACACAACGACAACAGCGTCGCGAGCAACGACGAGCAGCAAAGCTGGCAGAGGAAGAGCAGCGTAGGGCAGAGAAGCAGGCTGCTAACGGGCAGCTCAAACAACAGGGAGCAGACAGGTCAGGACAAGATGAGGAGGCAAGGCGCATTCGGCACGAAAAGAGACGCCAACGCCACGAGGCCGAGAAGGACGCAAGGCGGCTGGAGAGGGAGAAAGCAGAGCAAGCGTCACGTGATGAAGAGGAGGCACAGAAAGCTAGAAGACAGCGGCGCGCAGAGAGGGAGAGAGAGATGGTCGAGGCGGCCAAGCCTCGCAGGAGAGAGGTCGAGGTCCCTCGTGATGCAGCACGGCGCGCAGCCGAAGAGGAGGATTCGGCCAGCCCTGCACCTGAGGTCAGAGAGTCACCGCGCACAACACCTCGACGCCGCTTGAGCACTCGGGAGCCGCCGCCGCCAACACCCAAACGCGGCAGCTTTCTGGGAGGCCTCTTTGGGCGAAAGACAGAGGCGACTCCGCCATCGAAGTCGGTCACGCCCAAGTCTCGTGCTCGAGCCGAGGCCGTCGAGGTCGTTGACACGCCTACCAAAGTGTTGCGCAAGGAGATGGAGTACCACTCCAGCAGCAACCACTCGTCGAACGAGAGCCGAGAGCGGCCTCACCACAGTCGCCGGCACTCACACGGCAACCACCACCGATTCAAGTCGGCAGAAGAGGAAGCAGAATACTACCGGCAAAAAGAAGAACGCAGAGCCCAACGCGCACGCGAGCACGAAGCTGCCGGCGGCAGAGACGTGCCCATGCCGCCCCCGGTCTACGACCCGCCTCTGCCCCCGCCACCCGCAGCGCCAAAGTCGGTCGCGACGATGGAGACGGCAACGATGGAGGTCGAGCGACAGCGCGACGCGCCCGATGTCGACGAGGCAGAGCCCATGGACTTGGACTCGCCTGCGTACCACACCGACGAGGCCGCGGGCGTGCTGGGCATGAGCTCGGGCTCGGAGCACCGCGACCGGCGCACGCGACGCGTGTCCATCCTCGACGAGCGGCCGAACCGCAATCGCCGCGTGGCGCCTGGGTCGGACAAGGGCGAGCGGCCGATCAGCCGGCGGGTGCAGTCTGACCGCGCGCGGGCCAAGGCGTATGGCGACGAGCGGCCGAGAGCGAGGAGGAGCGAGACGGAGAGGAGGGGGGCTCGGACGGGGGACAAGAAGAGGAGCGGCGAGGGGGGGTTGAAGGGGTTGCTTGGGGGCTTCTTGAAGAAGACATGATTGC